GACGGCAAACTTGCATAGCCACTTTGGAAATTAATATGGCAGTTTCTCAGAAAAATGGGAATCAATCTACCTCAAGACCCAGCTATACCACTCTTGGGAATATACATAAAGGATGCTCAATCATACAAGGATAGTTGCTTAACTATGTTTATAGCGGCTTTATTTGTAATAGCCAGAACCTGGAAACAATGTAGATGCCCCTCAACCAAAGAATGAATAAAGAAAATATGGTACATTTACACAATGGAGTATTACTCAGCTGTTAAAAACAATGACATCAGAAAATTTGAAAATGATTACATGGAACTAGAAAAAAAAATCATTGTGAGGTAACCCAGACCCAGAAAGAAAAACATGGTTTCTTATGAGTGCATAAGTGAATATTAGCTGTAAAGTAAAGGATATCCATGCTTTAATCCACAGACCCATAGAGACTAGGTGGTAAGGAAGACCCAAGAAGAGGACATATGAATCTTCCTAGAAGGGGAATAGAAGAGACTTCTTGGGTGGCCTGGGGCTCGTGGGGATAGGAACCTGAGAGATTGGGTTGAGGGATAGATGGAGGGGGAGAGTGCTGAAAAAGATAACTGGAAATGGGGGGAGGTGCATTTCAGGGTCAGGTAGAAACCTGATGCAAGTGAAACTTCCACAAATGACCCCAGCTAAGACTTCTAATAATAGTGGAAATGTAGCCTGAACTAGCCATCTCCTGTGATCAAACTGGGGACTACCCCAATTGTCATTAGAGAGCCATTGTCTACTAACAGACAGAAACAGATGCAGATATATAGCCAAACATTAGGCCAAACTCAGAGAATCCTGCTGAAGAGAGGGAGGAAGGATTATAGGAGTCAGAGGAGTCAAGGACATCACAAGAAAGCTCACAGAAAAAAAAAAAAAAAGCTAACCTGGCTCACAGGAACTCATAGAGTCTGAACCAACAACCACAGTGCCTGCATGGAACTGACCTTGGCCCTCTACAAATATGTGACAGTTACAGTTACTTGGTTGGTCTACTTGTGGAACTCCTAACAAAGGGAGCAGGGACTGTCCCTAACACTGACTGGCTCTTGGAGTCCTACTCCTCACACTGGGTCACCCTGCCCCTTAAAACAAGAAGAGGAACTTAGCCTTACTGCAACTTGATATTCCATGCTTTGTTGATATCCATGGAAGGCCTGCCCCTTTCTGAACAGAAACAGAGGAGTGGATTGCAGGGGAGGGGAAAATGGGAGGGAAGGAGTGAGGGGAAACTTTGGTTGAATGTAAAACAAATAAATAAGGTTGACTAAACTGCCACAGGAAGTTGGTTGATTAAGCTGTCCCTTCCTTTGTGGGATGAAGAGGCATCACAGAACTGTTGTTTGAATTCAGAGATTCGAATGTATAAAACATTCAATAGTGTACAGCGTCTGGCACCCAGTAAGACCTTAGTAAATATTCATTACAGTCATTTTCTGAGCCTAACAACACACCTTTTCTACTGTACAATATTATGACACAGTTTTGGAACAAAATATAAGTAAATGAGATTAATTCAAAAGTTCAACAGGAAGAAATGTTTGGTGCCGTATTATAAAGAAGTTCATTATGCTATCTTAAGTGTAATGATATCACCTGAAGTGGCATTTCATTTGTATTTTAATAAATAAAGCTTGTCTAAGGATCAGAAAAGTAAAACAGTCACACTGGCTAGCCTTAAAGACCAGGCAGTAACGACACGCGCCTTTAATCCCAGAGGGCACACTAGTCACCATAAAAACCAGGTAGTGCATGCCCTTAATCCCAGTGGTTTATGCCTTTAATTCCAGGGCTAGAGAAGAATATAAAATGAAAGGAGGTGGCTCACAGCCATAGCCTCATCCTGAGATTCCTGGAGGCAGGATCGTCATTTGGGACTGAGGTAGAAGTATGAGCCAGTGGCTAGCTGTTTTGCTTTTCTGATCTTCAGGTTGAACCCCAATTTCTGTCTCTGAGTTTTTATTAATTGTGTTTCATTTGGTGCCCAAATAAAATACAAATGAAATGCCACTACAATAACCCTGATTTGTAATTTTATAAAAGGATACAGAAATTTAGAAATTTATCTTGACAGTCAAAATCCATTCACTTCCAGATAACATAAGCACAAGTATATTATTAAAGTCTAATGTCTCAGAATTCAGTTTATTAAGTTCTGGAAAAATACTAGATCAATAATGATCATATAATTAAATTATATAACATGAATAAAATAACTATATCTTGAAATATTTTCACATCTTTAGAACTTAAATTGGAAGTCAACAAATACTTTCCTTCTTGATTCTTACTAAAATTCTACGTTGAGACAAGTACACAACCCTTTAACATCCACTTTGGATACAGTTTAGAAAGGAAATTTTGGAAATAATTGAAATTAGTTCAATTATAATCCTAATTTTTTGGCTGGAATTTTAATATTTTATTTATTTTGTTTTTAGATTTTATTTTTAATTGTGTGTTTGTGTGTGCACATTCACACATGTGCATGTATGCACATGTATACACATGTGATGAGTACAGTGTCCATAGAGGCCAGAAGAGGGCATCAGATCTCCTGGAGTCACAGTACTCTACTACATTCTGCTGCTCCTTCACCCAGATGCATGACTTAAGGACTTTCCTGATGAGGGATCCCACCTGAGACCTTTCTACCTTTTCTATCTCCTCCAAACAGTGCAGGCAAGAGAGACGAAGGTCCTAACAAATGCTTGCTTACTAGTTATCCGAGTACTCACCTAGCTTGCACAGGGCCCCAGGTTCGAGCCCTAGCACTACACGAACTGGCCACAGGAATGTTACCCTCTAATACTAATGCTTGGGAGGTGGAGGCAGGAAAATCTTCAGAAGCTCAGTGTCATCCTCAGCTACATACTGAATTCTACACCAGCCTGGGTTACATGAGATTCTAACTAGAAACTAATTAATTAAATAAAAAAGAAAGAAATAATTCATCAATAAAGGTTTTCTTAAAACAAATTCATTAGTGGGTACTTGTTTTGAATCAATTAATCAGTTAATGTTCTGTATTAAAACCATATCTTCATCCCAACAGTGGTGGCGCATGCCTTTAATCCCAGCACTCGGGAGGCAGAGGCAGGCAGATCTCTGTGAGTTCAAACCCAGCTTGGTCTACAAGAGTTAGTTCTAGGACAGGCTCCAAAGCTACAGAGAAACCCTGTCTTGAAAAAAAAAATCTTCAGCTAGACATGGTGAAACACACCCTTAATTCCAGGCTTCAATAAACAGAGGCAGGCAGAGCTCTGAATTTGAGGCTAGCCTGATCTACAGAGAGTTCCAGGATATCTGGGGCTACACAGAGAAGTCCTTTCTCAAAGAACATAAAGCAAACATGTCTTCCATAATGCAAGCATATCTTATAGTTTCAGAAGATACATCTGAAACTGCATAAAAATACACTGTATATATGAAATGAATGTATATTCTCCTTTCTTCTTTTTTCTAAAGGGGAGGTATATTGGTGCTGGGAACTGAGATGAACCCAGGTCCTCACATATGCAAAATTTCTTAGTAGTTATACTTAGTTGCCTTGACTATGAGCACATTAGCAAAATTTTGTCAGAATTATTTCAGAACCTACAAAGGTTGCTGCTTCTACCTTTCATCCTCTATTGTTGTTTTGGAGAACTGGATGCTAGGGGCTGGAGAGACGGCTGCTCTTCCAGAGGACCTGGAATTCAATTCCCAGAAGCCAGAAGGCAGCTTACAACTATCTATAACTCTAGTCCTGGAGAGCCTAATACCTCTTTGGGAACCAGGTATGCACTTTGGACAGTCTGATCTCTGTGAACTAGACTTAGCCAACTGAACACAGTATGCAGAGATGTTTTACATTAAATTAATTTTCTTACTTATATGAACTTCTTTCAACCATTTACTTCGTGCCTCTGGTGTCATGATAATAATGTTAGGTCAGTTAACACTACCAAAATCAAATGTACAAATAGGCTTGATCTATATATTTATCTACTTCAAAATTAGACATGATTCTGGGAAAGAGACATAACAAAGCTCAGTGAATTCATGAATCAACATGGTAGCCAGTAAGAAATCATATTGACTTGTAGAAATGTGGGCTTCTTATGAAAATGACAGTAGTTGCAACCATGCTATAAATAATTTCAAAAACAAAACTCAAAGATATATTAATGATTACAGTTTGAAAAATCTATAAATTCATTTGTAAGGAGTTATAACCAAATGGAAAGCTGAAGGTAAGTAAATATTAGCAAATATTATCTCCCATAGCAGGCAACCTCTGAGCCCATTAGTGATTATGATGCTAGAGAACATAAAGACAGCTGTCCAGATTGCTCACAAAATACCTGTTAAAAAATAAAAAAGGAGTTCTTCATATGCACACAGATGCAAATAAATAATAACTATCAATTATTAATATTTAGCATGATATATTAGTAATCAATGGACATTACATACTTGAGGATAAATATGACAGTAGAGAAAATATTTATGGTCACAGCAAGAAACTAATTCTCAAGAAACTTAGGAAGGATTGAAATCCATGTAAACTAAAACTGAGATGATCATAATGAACTCCATTTGAGGATTCCTCAGAAGTCAGCACAAGCCTATCCACAGGATCTTAGTTAAATTACTATCAGTAGTGAAGACATAAAATGAGTGTGCTAATTTTTGAAATTTTTGAAAACAATATCAAATGATATATCTACAATTTTATAAAGATAGCTACATTTTTAAGCTATTACAAATTTACCTTTAGGATGTCTTTACTGAAAATCACCAAGGAACTCTTTACAACTAATTTCCCTAAATATGTTTATTATAACTCAAAATAAACATACCATTTCTTCTACTCCATTAGTAGGTGTAAAAGATAAACCATCAAAGCTCCAAAATTTTCTCTTAATAGTGATAACATGCTACTGGGGAAAGAAAAAAAAATCGATAAACTTGAATCTTATTTCATACCAACTTACTCTGACTTTGGGTAAGACTCTCCGAAGGGTCTCAGTAGGATTCTGCCGCATCAAAATTGGAAGATTTGCAATCACACTTGTTCCTTGGATATCTTGACCAGCACTTACAAGGAAAATGCAAATTTTTAAATTTAAAATTAGGAGCTGAATTTTAAATTTAATGGGTCAATTTGAAAAAAAAACCGTTTTTAATGACTTCCTACAATGTTTCAACCACATCATTGAAATACAAAAGTAAAACCAGATATAAAATCTTATTAAATAAATCTTATAACAAATACATATAGACATTACAGATATGCTAAAATACAATTTTCTGTTAATATACGTGTCATAAAGTATTAACCATTTTACTAATACTTTACAAATCTACCACATTTTTCTCTGTGATGTGAAAGTTTGCTATACTTTATAAAAATATATGATAGAATATAGTAAAATAATAATTATAGCAACAATTAAAATAATCTACACAAAACCACAATGCTGAGTTCACTGAAATGACTTATATAATTTGGCTTCATGAAATGCAAGAAACTTCTGAAAGATACATTTAAAGCTCTTACAGGCCACTAATACATTTTATATAATGTCTTTTTGGTCTAACATGCATTACAGCTTTGTTCCCAAAATAATATCTGTGGTATTCTAGAGGCCTAAATACTTTGGGAAATATTCAAATCCTTCTGGAAAGAACACTTCCATGAACTACAAATACTTCTTTAAAATACAGTCTAAGTGATACAAGTTTTGATGCATGTCAAGTACTGAAGGAAATGCCACCTGTTCTGAACAGACACCAAACACATTAAATGTTTATGGCATAAATTTTATTTATTTACATACTTTCAATAAATTAAAATTATTTTTACTTCTCTTCAAACTGCAGTCATTTGAAGATGAATGGCCCCACAAGCTCATATATTTGAATAACTTGGTCCCTAGTTGGTAGAACTGATTGGGAAAGATTAGGTGGTGTGGTCTTGTTGAAGAAGGTGTGAAACTTGAGATGTGCTTTCAGGTTTCCAAAGAGCCATTCTGAGTCTCCCTCTCTCTGTCCTAAGGTTGTGTCTCAACATGTAAGCTCTCAGCTACTGCTCTAGCACCATGGCTGCCTGCTGCCATGCTCCCTGCCATGATGGTCATGGACGCTAATCCTCTGAAACTGTAAGCCCCAGTAAACTCTTTTATAGTGTTTTATCGTAGCAACAGAAAAGTAACTACGACAAGAATTATTCATGGTTTTACAAAATGTATGTGAACTTTAAATATAAAGTTTTCAAATAGTTTAAGGAATATGTTTGTTTCTTCAGAATTATTCAGGTTTTTTCCAGTCATAAGAAACATGTTCTAGTTGTGAATGAAGCTCTGTCCTGCCATGATCAAGTCTTGACCTGCTGCACTACAGCAGACTATGGAATACTACTACTCACTGGTGACTAAGCCTTCAAATATATGAGCCTAAGGGGGGCATTTTTATTCAAACCATCATAGCCAGTTTTTTAAATATTTTTAACTTAAATAAAATGCTTTGCTTAGTTTTTTCTTAAGATTCCTCCTATCATCATGTTGTATTTTTGTTCATCTTCTGTATTATGTTCTCTCATATTCTTTTTACTTTCAAACCTATTTTTATATCTAAAATTTCCGCATTTCTTTTCAACAGTAATTGTTTTTGTTTCATTCACTATCTTTTCTAATTGAGTCATTTTCCAACTTTCTACTGAGTACTATCACCTCAACTCTACATTTTCATAATTAATGATGACTGTGATGGTCTTGTGTCTTATTTATTTTCTTAATTTTCTTTTGAAGACAAATAGGTTATAATTATATGTTTTGTGGTCTCTGTCTCTTGTGATAAGAACTATAAGTCTTTGCCTTACTTTCTCATTAAACACACACACACACACACACACACACACACACACGGAATTGGATTATAATCTTTAAACCCTGAAGGTATGGTTCAGAATAGCTTCTTATTTTAGAGTCTTTTTTTTTTTTTTTTTGCTACTTTTTGTAATCTTGAACATGTGATGTTTGCCTTTTGAGGTCCAAGTTTTCAAACACATGAGCCTTTACTCACATATAAATCACAACAGTAGTGTATTTGTCTATGTGTAACCTGAGACAACAAGAAATATTGTTTTCATAGTTCTGTAAACCAGAAGCCCCAAGTCAAGAAATCAGTGGTACCCAGTTTTGGCCCTCTTAGCTTCCTGCATCTCCATTTTTGTGGTCAAATTGCCTTCTCCTGTCCTATGTTTTACTCTGGATAATTCCTTTATATATGCATGTTACTAGACCTAGATAATATAGGATGATCTCTTCATTTCAGGATTATTCTAAAAATTAAGAATACACTCCAGCATTCTAGATTAGGGTGTAGACAAATTTTAGGGGTTACCTTTTATTGTATGACAAGTAATTTCTTGGAAAACTTTAGTTTCCACCTCTGACAATCTTCCTAGATTAGCATAGTCCCTTATTTCATGCTGTTCTCTTTTCTCTTCATTTTTTTCTTTAAAAGATCTACTTACAAAGGTAAGAAAGCTGCCAGGATCAAGTCTTGACCTGCTGCACTGCAGCAGACTATGGAATATAGGGTTTCACAATCATTTCACTTTCTTACCTTTGTAAATAGATCTTTTTTTAATTTATTTATTTCTTTATTAATTAATTAAAGATTTCTGTCTCTTCCCCACCGCCGCCTCCCCTTTCCCTCCCCCTCCCCCAATCAAGTCCCCGTCCCTCGTCAGCCCAAAGAGCAATCAGGGTTCCCTGCCCTGTGGGAAGTCCAAGGACCACCCACCTCCATCCAGGTCTAGTAAGGTGAGCATCCAAACTGCCTAGTCTCCCACAAAACCAATAGGTGCAGTAGGATCAAAAAACCCATTGCCATTGTTCTTGGGGTCTCAGTAGTCCTCATTGTCCACTATGTTCAGTGAGGCCGGTTTTAACCCAGGCTTTTTCAGACCCAGGCCAGCTGGCCTTGGTGAGTTCCCTAAAGAGAATTGACTTTAAAGAGAAGTTACAGAAGGTGCATGTGGATCATGTGAATCCGAATCTTAAATGCATTCTGGTCCTATTACCCTCCAAACATTTTCCTACAGAAATTTTAATGCAAAGGGAAGATATTATCTTAGAATGGATCTTTTTACCACATAAACCAAGTAAAAAATTAAAAACTTATATGGAAAAGGTCTCTGAGTTAATTCTAAAAGGAAAATTGATACTTTGTCAATTAGCAGCAATAGTCCCTGCAGAAATTATATTAACTTTTACTAATGATGAAATTAACGAACTATGGGAAGAAAGTGGACCCTGACAAAGAGCTTGTAGTACAACTATCCCAAAAGCCTATCAAAATATCAAATTTGCAACATGGTAAAATTTCATAAATCTTCACAAATGTTTGTTTCTGCTGTTCTAAAGACATATAATGGTCTTTTTGTAGTCCCAGTCCAATTAAAGACTAAAACTAGCTTTGTAGTTGGAGTGTGGCTCTCTCCTTCTCTAAACCAAAACATGATTATTAAAGTGAAATTCAAAATCTCTGTCTTGTGTCAGAAGAGTCACCTGATAGAGGACAGAAGAAAAACAAAAATTTAAGGACTATTTTATTGCTACTAATCTCATAATCCTTTGGTTTTATATTGACCCTTTGACAGCTTTTCTTAAGGTATAAGATTTATAAAAGATATATTTTCAACTTTTTGTCATGTATTAATGGTCATATAGAGTATTAACTAATTCTAGAAAAATGTTTCATCTACCTTCCTGTACATGATTTTGGTTTGAGTCTCTATCAGTTTTCTCCAGTGAACCATGAGCATACCTAACAGCAACCTTTGAAGTCTCCATAGGTAGCATGGGGCCCCACAACAATGACGATGACTCCTCCAGGACTATGATAACACTACTAAGCTGAAAAATACCACCTAATTATTGGCTTTGGACTACAAACTGCTCAGAATAATTTCAAGGTGGCTAGCTGAGATGATCCAACCTAAAAACTACTCTAGCCAGGACTTGAGATAAGGCCTACACTTTCCCATTACGCAAAGACTGGAAAAAAAAAAAAGAAGAAGATACAGCTACCTCTCCCAGGACTTGAAAATTAACTCAAATTTTTCTTTTCAGGATCCCCTAAAGATACCATCACCCCCAGACAGCAGGAAGTAAATTTAAAAATACAATGTTCACATTCCCAAGAGGTGGGGTGGGTGGTGTTTGGTCATTCAATGGATTATAGATATTTGTTATTGTTTGGGGGTTAGTAATAAGTTATTCTTGGTAATGTGATGGAGGAAGGTCATTGGCTAATAAAGAAACTGCGTTGGCCCATTTGATAGGCCAGCCTTGAGGTGGGTGGAGTAAACAAAACAGAATGCTGGGAGGAAGAGGAAGTGAGCAGAGATGCCATTTCCTCTCCTCTCTGGGGCAGACCCGATGAAGCTCCGACCCAGGATGGACATAGGCTAGAATCCTTCTCGGTAAGCTACTGTCTCATGGTGCTACACACATTAATAGAAACGGGCCAAGCAGTGTTTAAAAGAATACAATTTGTGTGCTGTTATTTCCGGTAAAGCTAGCCAGTGGCTGGGAGCTGGGTGGCAGGAACGCAGCCCGCAGCTTCTTCAACAGTAATAGTCAGGAAAAAAGCTAAACAAAAGAAATTAGATTTAAGGTTCTCATTTTGAAAAGAAAAAAATGGGGGGATTTAGATATGATAGGACAAAGGGGTAGATATTGAATCTACTCTGAAAAAAGGGAGGATATAGAAATGATAAGATAAAAGGGTAGGCTATTGAATCTACTTCTAAAAATCAACTACTAGTTTTAAACATTTTACATTGGATTGGACTTTTGTACATTGTATATAAACTTTGTATATTGAGATTAATTCTGTTAGAACCTACTGTACATACATTTCTACTCTTATTCAAGGTATTATAACTATATAGCTCATTTAACAATATAAGGCAAATTTCTAGTCCTTGAAAATTATTATTATCAACTGTCTAGAATAATAAGGGAGTGCAGGTTAGTAATTAGCCACCTATTATAATCAAACTTATAGTCACATTAGTTATGTTT